AATTGTAATCCACGAGATTCTGTGTACTGTCTTTTGGTCCAATAAGTAATATCTCTGTCTTATCCGAATTTAGGGTTAGATTATTTAGTGTACAGGTCATTTCAAGAGTGATAAAGTGATAGAAAATATTTATTTTCATGCATTTTAAATGTTTTAAAATGTGGAAACCACTCATTGCATCACACCATCTCCTGACTGCTTTATTATTTTTAAAATAGGGGCTTTATGGAGTGTGTGTATACATGGTTATAAGTATAACAGTTAATATTTAATTAATTTAGAGAAATTAACAAGTGTTTTAGCCCTCAAGGGATTATTTGGCCAACCAGTTTATTCCTGCTTGAAAAGCAAAATGTCATTATCGGCCAATAATCACGTTGGGATGATTGATCGGCGGTCTCTAAAAGGCCGATCTCAAAAGACCGATCTCAAGCTGATGACGCTGCCGTGAGAGGTTTGGCAGGACATGCAGCGTCACCGTCTCAGTCTTTGTCCGGCGCGGGTGAAATAATTGTAATGCTGAACCTTCATATTTCTTCATTAAATATCTTACAAAATAATTTGAAAACCTTGTGTGAGACGTAATTTCACAAACAGCGTGTTTGTGGTAAACAGCCACGGATCAGTAGCGGACTCCTGTGTGAAAGCTGCTTCCCCTCTCACAAGTCACCTAAGAGGGGAATTTCCCCCATTTTCCCCCATTTTCAAAAATTCAGGCCCTTAATAAATGTCTAAAAATCCTGATTGAAGTATCACTATAAATAGTTATAAGTTATAAAAAGAAGGCTTTAAAAAGATCGGTATCGGTGATCGGTATCAGTAGATACTGATTTCTGTGATCGGCGATCGGCCTCAAAAATCATGATCGGAGCACCCCTATGGACTAGCATAATGTTATTGATAGTGTAAAAAACATAAACTTTGATTCACATGTGATTGATGGACTAGCATTCCTCAACATTACTTACTACCTTCCAGCAACACTACATTCAATGAAGGTAAAATAGTAAAAAAAAAAAAAGTTAATTTAAGTAAAACCGGAATTGTTAGGCAAAACTGGAACTGGAACTGGAAAATTTCTAACGATACCCAACCCTACCCGCGAGAGAGCTTCTTTCCTTCTTCGGCTTCTTCCATCCAGTGTCAGCGAAGAGATGATCCTCGTTGCTGAAGGAGAATATTCTGATGAAATGGCGCTCTGAGCCGACTTATATAGGTTCTGGCGGGCTAGAGCAGCTACGCAAACGTGAACAAATCAGGCTTCAGTATCAGTGTAAACAGGAGTTTCCCCATACACAACGTGAGAGAACGTTTGAAAGGGAACGGGTAAAATCCATGGAATAAGAAAAAATTTATTGTTGTGCCTTTGG